GATGCCAATCCTCCTCTTTTTGCTGAGGAAGATTGGCCCTGGGCTAACATCTGTGCCCATCTTCCTCTACTTTATATGGGACGCCGCCACAGCATGGCTGGACAAACAGTGCATCGTGTGTGCCTGGGATCCGAACCTGTGAACCCCGGGCTGCTGAAGCGGAGCGCATGCACTTAACTGCTGCACCACCGGGCTGGCCCCAGAATCTCTGACATTTAAAAAATTTTCCCCACAGCACCGTGACAGGCCACATCCTCAATGTGGATAACAGCCTTTCACTCCTCTAGATTCATATCAGTTGATTCAAAGAATACTTTTCCTTTTGTTGTCCTCAGAATCTGAGGACCCTGAGATGCATTACTCAGTTTCAGTAAATAATGGAAGAAAAATCAGTTTCATTTTCTTGTTTTGGGAGACATTTATCAGGCTTCATATTTTAAAATTCTTGAGAGAAATTGTTGATTTTTGCTGGTGCTTTTCATTGTAAATGCCAGTGCACAGTACAGTTTTCCATTAGAATTTTATAGTCATAAGTTCAGTCGTCTATCCTTGATAAAATAAATGTTTTAGATACTGACATAATGAATTTTCCCTCACAATGTGCTTGTATAAACTCCTATAAAATGTTTCAGCTCTTGCTACCTACTGTGATTTTATTTAGCCATAATCATATCAATCTTGTAGAGTTCAATGAGCTGTCATTATAAGAAAAGCAATTTTTAGAAAAATATAATCTGTTGAGGGTTTGCAAGTCTTTCTATAGTTAACTCTGGCTTTTAGACTTTATTGATAGAGCATAAAAGAAATAATTTAGCCAGGGAATGGTACTGTTGGTTAATAGAGAAATGTTTGGTTGTTTTCAGTCTATATTTGACGGTACTATTTCTCTCAGTATGGTCTGTGGACCATTTGCCTCAGATTTACCCTGTGGAATCTATATTAAGATTTTAGGTCTCCACTTCAGAACAGAATCAGAATTGGTGGGTTGTGTGCAGAAGTGCCTGAGAATCTGCATTTTAAATAAGCTTTCCAGGTGGTTCTGAGATGCACTAAGTTTGGGTAGCATGGCCTTGTGTGAACTAGTTGTATCCAACTCCTTTGTAAAATCTTTTTTTATTATTTTATAAGGTATAATTGACGTATAACATTATATTAGTTTTAGGTGTACAACATAATGATTCGATATTTGTCTATATTGTAAAATGATCACCACAATAAGTCTAGTTAACATCCATCACCATACATACTTACAGAATTCTTTTTTCTTGTGATGACAACTGAAGATCTGTTCTCTTAGCAGCTTTCAAATATGCAATACAGTACAGTCATGTGTCACTTGAAATGTGTCATTAGGCAACTTTGTTGTTGTGCAGACATCATGCATCAGGGTATATGGAAGGGGAACAAAATTTGCCACACCAAAGTGTGTCTCTAATGTGAGGATTATTTTAGACTGATTATTTTTAAGGAACAAAGGACTCAGAGTTTTTCTTTTTACCTCCCCCTTTTGCCTAAGAGAATTCAGATTAAAAAACCTGTCTCAGGAAGCGAGCTATCACCTTAGCATAACATGAACTAGGTGGTGAATAGGGAGGAACCTAGAAAAGCATATTTGTTGAGCTCCTCTCTGTGTTCTTCTATTTTTGGGAGGCCTAAAAAACACTTGTTTTCCAAACACTTGCTCCTGTCTGTGAATATCTGTAAGTTGCCTTCTTTCCCTTTGAAGGCTCTGACTCTCCCCACCCCCAGCATCTTCTTTTGTCTTTAGCTAAGGATGGTATTTAAGGTGAGGACTTTGGCCATTTTGGCGAGTTACTCAGTTTTCTTGAGTTTCTCCCATGTGTATATGTTATTAAACTTTTGTTTGTTCTTCTCCTGTTAATCTGTCTCATTCCATTTAATTCTTCAACTGGCCAGAAGAACCTAGAAGGATAGAGGAAAATTGCTTCCTCCTTTACAGGACTTACACAAACCTAGATGGTGTAGTCTGTTATACACCTTGGCTATATGGTACTAATCTTATGGGACCACCGTTGTATATGCAGTCCAAATTGACTGAAACGTTGTTATACAGTACGTGACTGTATTATTAACTATAGTTACCATGATGTATATTACATCCGCATGACTTGTTTACTTTATAACTGGAAGTTTGTACCTTTTGACTCATTTCACCCATTTCACCCATATCTCACCCTCAGCCTCTGGCAACCACCGGTCTGTTCTCTGTATCTATAAGCTTCATTAAAATCTTGTGTTTTTGGATAAATCTATTACTTGCAAGTTCCTATTGATCTTTACCTAAACCTTTGATATTCTCATTTAAAAATGATTGCAATTGTAATGACTATCTTGAATGCATATATATTAAGCACCTAATGGCCGTAGTGTTGAGCCAGGCAATGTACTCAGGTAACCAGGTTATAATCAGATTAAATAGATTGAAACTCACTAAGGGGTTCCTGTTTATAAAATTGTCTCAAGTCATTGATACCCTTAGGTATCTTGAATTCTATTCCATTTTAAGAAATAATGTTTATTAACTGTTTTTTTGGAGGGAGTAGAGGAAAGTCATTTAATAGGGCCTTGTTAGATTTAAAATTGTAACTTAGTGCTTATCAGTGTATTAATTATGTAAATAGATGAAGAGCCAGGTGGTGATTTTGCTAAAACACTGCTTGTAATGCCTTACATATTTGTTAATATAATTAATTAAAGTTGAAGAGAACAAAATCCTATTGTAGGGGCTGGCCCGGTGGTGTGGCAGTTAAGTGCATGCCCTCCGCTTCCGTGGCCGGGGGGTCGCGGGTTCAGATCCCGCGCGCGCACAGATGCACCGCTTGTCAAGCCGTGCTGTGGTGGCGCTCCATATGAAGTAGAGGAAGATGGGCGTGGATGTTAGCCCAGGGCCAGTCTTCCTCGGCAAAAGGAGGAGGATTGGTATCGGATGTTAGCTCAGGGCTAATATTCCTCACCAAAAAATATAAAATAAAATAAAAAAATCCTATTGTATTTTTTGCCGTTGTTTTCAATTGTGTTCTTTGAAGATAATGCCAGAATACGATGTTATCTGTCAACTTTCTGAACTCTTTTTTCATTGATGGTAATGAGTTGGATAAAGCTGACCATTCCAGTAGGTCTCCTTTTATTTCATCTAGTGCTTTTGCAAAATGATTGCCTTGATTTGAGGAGGCGATTTTGCCTGTGGATCAGAACTTTTTCTAAAGAAGCTATATGTGATAATATTCTCAAATCCATAGCCTAACCCTCAATAGCATTTGTACTCTTATCATCTAAGATAACTAGTTTTTTAGAGATTTTGCATGAAAACCGTGGGCAAATTTTAGGGAAAGCATGCTTTAAAGAGGTGGAGAATTGATTAAGTCTACGTGTGTTTCTAAATGAAGTTCTCTTAGCACTTAGTCCACAAGCCTTTTATGTGAGTCCCAAGTCTGTATCTTTAGGCCTGACTTCTTTAAAGAACTGAGTCCTAAATTTCTCACTTTTGTCTACCACCTAGACCCTTCTACCTGATTGTTGCACCAGCACCTCAGCTGCAACATGTTGAACACTGTCAACTTTATTTGCAAATTTGATCCTTCCACTTTTTTATCTTAATGGTTCTATTCTCCCGGTCACCCTGATATTGAATCAGAAGGTAATTTACTGTCTTATATGAAAAGCATTTGATAATTCACAATAATCCTCAGTGATCTCTTTTTTTCCCTTTTTCAGTTCTATTCACAAAAGGAAGCCATTGCCCAAAACTGTATATAACTTGCTCTCAGATCGTGATTTAAAGAAAAAGCTAAAACAGCATGGATTATCTATTCAAGGAAATAAACAACAACTCATTAAAAGACACCAAGAATTTGTACACATGTACAATGCCCAGTGTGATGCTTTGCATCCTAAATCAGGTAAAGTAATAAAAACAGTGAGTTATGCTTGTCCTCTGGATAAAGCAACTTTGTGTAAGTCAGGAATTATAAACCATAGAAAAAAATTTTAGTAAGTATTATTTTTGGTAATAGGTAAGACATGCGAATATGTTCCTTCAGAAGGTACCTAGACTATACGATGATAAGCCAGCCTTTCTCTCAGCTGGTCTCTGTCCTCATTCCCTTCTTAGAGGCAGCCACTGTGACCAGTTTCTTATGTATATTTCCAGAGATAGTGTGGGATGAAGAGTTCTTCTCCAGAGCTTGGGTCATAATCCCAGTTTTGTAGCTTCATGACTGGGTGACTTTGGGAAAGTTACTTCTTATCTCTGTAATTCAGTTTTCTCATCCATAAACTAAGGGTTATGATACTACCTACTTCATAGTGTTTTTGAGAGCAGTAAATCAGAAAATGCATGTAAAGTGCCTAGCAGGTACCTAAGCAAGTAGTTGCATTCAATAGATGTTACCCTATGATTATTATACACAAATATATATCCTTGATCATTATTGTTTTATAAAAATGTTAGTATTGTATATATGCTATTTAATGGTTTGTCCTTTTCATTTAACCACACATATTTTGGAGTTCTTTCAAGTATTAACATATATAGAGTTGCCTAATTTGTTAAAAATTAAAATGTAATATGCAGACAGAAAAGTACACAAATGATAAGTGTATTATTTGGTAACTTATCACAAAGTAAATTTCAGCAAAGGGAAAATGCCTTTGTAACCACTATTCAGATCACTGCCAGCATCCCATGCATACATGGTGTTAGAAATCAAGATCATGGTCATCACTACCACCTTCATTCTCACAGATGACCATGATCTTGATTTTTAACACCATGTATTCATTTTGCCTGTATTTGTTCTGTATATAAATGGAATAATAAATAACATGTATTCTTTTGAGTCTAGCTTCATATGTATAATGTTATGTTTATAAGATTTGTCCATGTTTTGGTGTACAGTTGTGATTTTTTCATTTTAGTTGCTATAGAGTATTCCACTGTATAAACATATCACACTATTTTTCTATTCAGTGGTTGATGGACACTTAGATTTTTCCACTCTTTGGCTCTTAAGAATAATGCTGCTATGAATAATTTTTTGCATGTCACGTGCACATAGGAATACATATTTTTGGATATTTATACCTAGGAGTGAAATTATGTTGTTATATTTTTGCAGATGTTCAGCCTTCAGGGATAAAGCCAACAACTCAGTACCAATGTACACTGTCATCAGGAGGGCATGAGTATTTCAGTTTTTCCACGTCCTTGACAACATCAGTATTTTCCATTTTGGCCATTCTAGTGGGTCCATGGTAGTATCTCATTATGGTTTTAATTTGCATTTTCCTAATGACTTATAATGTTTAGCACATTTTTATATGCTTATTGGCCATCTGGATATCATCTTTGGTGAAATACCCATTTAAGTCATATTCCCAATTTTTCTATACTGTGGATCTATTTTCTTCTTTTTTATTTGTGGGAGTACATGATATTTTCTTGATACAAATCTTGCTGAATGTATGCATATTTACTCTCTTCTTTCATTTCACCTTCTTGATGGTTTCATTTGAGAAGTAGAAGTTCTTAATTTTTATATAATCCAGTTTGTTGCATTTTTCCTTTTGGTTAGTGCTTTTACCTACCACAAGATCATGAGAATCTTCTCTTATTTTTTTTTTTTAAAGCTTTATTGTTTTTTCTTTTACGTTTCAACCTACAATTTATCTGAAATTGATTTTAGCATATGTTGGGAGGTAGGGCAGATTTTTTTTGTTTTTTCCATATGTATAGCCGGTTGGTACAGCACCATGCATTGAAAAATCATTCTTGGGCCGGCCCCGTGGCTTAGTGGTTAAGTGCGCACGCTTCACTGCTGGCGGCCCAGGTTTGGATCGCGGGCGCGCACCAACGCACTGCTTCTCCGGCCATGCTGAGGCCGTGTCCCACATACAGCAACTAGAAGGATGTGCAACTATGACATACAACTATCTACTGGGGCTTTGGGGGGAAAAATAAATAAATAAAAATTATAATAAAAAAAAAAAAAAATTCTTTTCCCACTGATGTCAGTATGTCTTGGTTGAGAATCAGCTAACTGTATATGTGTGGGTCTGGACATTGTTTTCTTCCATTGGGTCATTTATTTATCTTTGTGCCAGTAGTGTACTGTCTTAATTACTTTATGAGTAATTTATGATAGATCTTGCTGTCTGGTAATGTAGTTTTTCCAGCTTTGTTGTTTATCGAGATTGCCTTGGTGTTTGTAGACCCTTTGCATTTCCATATAAATTTTAGAATAAGCTAGTAAATTTCCCTGAACAAACAAAAATCTGCTTGGATTTTGATTGAGATTACGTTGAATCTATAGATCAATTTGGAGAAAGTTGATACCTGTACAGTATTTGAGTCTTCCAGTCCATGAATTTGTTTTATCCTTTTAATTGTTTTTCATTTCTGTCAGTGATGTTTTATAGTCTTCAGTATGAAGGTCTTTTTTACAGACTTATTCATAGGTATTTGATGTTTTTGATGCAGTCGTAAGTGGTGTCCTATTCTAAAATGTCAATTTTTATTTATTTATTGCTGGTATATAAAAATACAACTGATTTTTATATATTGTGTTTGTATCCAGTGACTTGTTATCTTCACTTTTTATGTGTGCTTTTTTTTTTTTTTTTTTTTGGCTGAGGGTGATTCGCTCTGAGCTAACATCCGCTGCCAGTCTTCCTCTTTTTGTATGTGGGCTGCCATCACATCATGGTGTAGGTCTGTGCCTGGAATCCGAATGTGAGCCGCCGAAGTGCTGAACTTAATCACTAGGCCACTGGGGCTGGCCCTATGTGTGCATTTTTAAATTGAGATATAATTTACTTAAGATATGCTTTTAAAATGTACAGTTAGATGAGTTTTGACAAATGTATATGTAGTCATTTAGCCATCATTTCATTCAAATTAGAGAACATTTTCTTCACCCTCAAAAGTTCTTCTGCCCCGTGGCATTAAATTCCTTCCTCCTTACCCTAAGGCCCTGGGAAATACTGATCTCTTTTATGTCCTATAGTTTTGCCTCTTCTAAAATGCCAGGTAAATGAAGTTATACAAATGGTACAGCATGTAGTCTTTTGTATCTGGCTTCTTTCACTTGCACAATGCTTTTGAGATTTATCTAGATTGTTGCATTTACCAGTAGTTCATTCATTGTTATTGCTAAGCAGTGTTCCACTTTATGGCTATACTACAATTTGTGTATCATTCACCTATTAATAGACAACTGGCTTGTCTCCAGTTTTCGGCTATTATGGATAAAGCTGCTGTGAACATGGGCTTACAGATCTTTATGTGTAGCCATATGTTTTCATTTCTCTTGGCTAAATACCCAGGTGTAGAATTGCTAGGTCATGTGATAAGTGTGTGCTTAGAAATACAAGAAACCACCAAACTGTTTTTCAAAAGGCTGCACTATTTTACGTTATATGAGATCCACCTTTTCTGCTTCCTTGTCAACACTTAGTATTTTCAGTCTTCTTAATGTTAGCCATTCTGGTGGGTGTGTAGTGGTACCTCATGATGGTTTTAATTTTCATTTTCCTGAGACTAATGTTGTTGAGCATCTTTTCGTATGCCTATTTGCTCTTTGCATATTTTCTTTGATAAAGGGTCTGTTGAAATATTTTGTCCATTAACACGCTTTTATTGATTGTAGGAGTTATTTATAGATTATGGATACCAGTTGTTTGTCAAATGTATGTATTGTGAATATTTTATCCTAAACTGTGGCTTGCCTTGTAATTTTCTTAATAGTGTCTTTTGAAGAGCAGAAGTTTTTCACTTTTACATCCAATTTACCATTTTTTTCTTATGGTTCATACGTTGTGTGTTCTACCAAGAAATATTTGCTTATTCTAAGATCACAAAGATTTTCTGCTGTGTTTTCTTCTAGAAGTTTTATAATTTTAGCTTTTGCATTTAAGTCTGTGATCCATTTCCAGTTAATTTTTCTATATGGTGTGAGGTGAAGGTTAAGGCTCATTTTTAAAAATATTGGATATCTGTTTTTTTTCAGTACCATTTGTTAAAAAGATTATTCTTTCTCCATTGAATTACCTTGCCCCCTTTGTCAAAAATCCACTGACCATATAGGTATGTGAATATATCTAGAGTCTATTTTGTTCCATTGGTCTGTATGTCTGTTCTTTTACCAATGCCATACCTTCATTACTGTAGCTTTATTCTAAGTCTTGAAGTCAGGTAGTGTAAGTCCTTCAACTTTGTTCTTTTTCAAAATTGTTTTGGCTATTCTAGGTCCTTTGCATAACCAAATAAATGTGAGACTCAGTTTGTTAGTATCTACAAAAAAGTCTTCTGTGGATTTTGATTGAGATTGCATTGAATTTATAGATCAACTTAGAATTGATATCTTAATGATATTGAGTCTTCTAATACCAATGATGTTCTATATTTATTTAGGTCTTCATTAATTTCTCTCAACAGTACTTTCTAGTTTTCTGTGTACATGTCTTCCACATATTTTGTTAAGTGTATCCCTAAGTATTTCATGTTTTTTTCATGCTATTGTAAATGGTGTTTTTTCTTTCAGTTTCTCATTGTTCATTACTATTTTAAAGAATCATTTTGGTATATTGACTTTTGTTTATTTACCTTGTTAACTTTTGAAACTCACTTATTATTTCTACTTGCTTTTCTATAGATTCTGTAGGATTTTTTATGTACATAATATTGCCAGTTTTTTTTTTCCTCAATCTATATGCCTTTTATTTCTTTTTCTTGCCTTATTGCAGTGGGTAGACCCATGCACTCAATGTTGTCTGGAAGTATAAACAAACATCCTTTCTTTACTTCCAGTTCATAGGTAAAATAGTCAGTCTTTCACCATTAAGTATGATAGGTATAGGTTTTCATAGATGCCTTTTTTGAGGTTGAGGACGTTGCTTTTAA